ATGCATGAATCCGCAGCATGCAGAACCTGCTTCGGAACCCGAGACTTCGAAGACATGGACATTGGCGTCGAGACGCTATTTTGGCAGGCGATTGTTGTGGGAGGAATAGGCCTCAAGCTCATGTCGGCGCGTACCCTTTGCACTTAATCTTGGCCAGAGATTGACATTTCGTGTTTTGGTGTTACAGGCTACCGTGTCACGCCTTCCCGAAACCTGTCCGTCGGTGCTCCTTTTGCTTTCACCGGGTGCATAGCGCAGAATGAAACATTTTTCTGACTCCGTCCGGATCTACGCGTGAACGATCGGACCAGCACCAAAGCTCGGACAATGATGATTCCGCGTCGCCTCACATTCGTCGCCGCCATTTCCAACCAACACCGACACCAGATATATTGTCGCTTCCCTCTTTCCCCTGTGATTTTTTTTTCGCCGTGGACATTTTGAGTTACGTCGTCTGACACATTTGACCGACTCCCAGACCAACAAAATGTTCAGCTTGTAGTGGTACGGACTGGTCTGTCTGGAAAGAGAGACGAATTATTTAGGGCTTGACGGACACGTCTCTTCGATGCCATGGTGTTCTTTGACGTTCCCTTTGCAATGCGCCAGGCCAACTACCAGACCTTGATGGACACATTCCCGGAACACTCTCAGGGGAGCAGCACATTTGAGGGCCTCAGCACGCATCACCAATCGCAGGTGCCGAAAACGTGTCCCATTCACGTTCCTCGCTATTGTACGGATATGTCTTGAAATAGAAAAATTGACAAATACCAAGATTGAGTGTATCGAATAGTCGCGGAGCTTGGACAGACCTTGGAGAGGTCACTTTGTCACAGGTCGGCGAAATCTGTGTAATTTGTAGACTTGTGCGGCTCCGAATTTCACTGACAAAAGCGCGTTTGCAAGCGGTGCCAGGCGGGCTACCTGTAGCACTGCCATCAACAGGCGGAGAGCGACAATGAGTTACTGCCATCCACGGGCGAACACTCACTGGCGTTGAAGTGCTCGCTTTGTTCGTTTCGTGGTTGGGGCACCAAGTTCCTACCGAACTCGCGTTGTCCTCCTCATCTGACTCTGACCTCACTGTCGCTTCACCGTGAACGTTGGCAACAACAACAACAACAACAACAACAACAACAACAACACACACACACACAATCACGCACACGATCACAACGACAACACCTGCAGGCGGAGAATGACAAGAGACGACAGGAGACGGCGTCGGCCAAGTTTTTACAGCGACCCGAAGTAAAACAGGCAGTTCTCAAGATCGAGGTAATGATATCCCCCGATTGTTGTCCTGTGCGCGATGGTTGTGGTGGTGGGGGGCGGGGGGCGGGGGTTACGACATTTGTTTGACGATCTCAGCCTACAAGGGTAAACACTCATCTACTCGTGTGCAGGTTAACCACCGCGTGTGCACGAAAAAGGATGTTTCGTTGGTTGGTCCAGCTGGGTTGCCTTCGTTCGCACCCTCTCGGCGTCGACAACCAGTTCCGAGGTGGATGGCAGATATGCTTGATTTTATTTTATTCACAACTGACCTCCACATGAGGCATCCGGCTGGGTTTCTGACGCTCTCTTTTCGTTGTGGGGTTGGCTGTATGACAAACGTCGAATCGCCCTCAGCGCGCCTACCTCCGGAGTCGCCAGCGACAGATCGACAGGTTCGGCACATACCTGGGACCCACGGTAAGATGTCGCAACTACGCGTGCTGAAAACTTATTCGAGGGTAGCATTTCCGTCGCCGGTCGTTGTATTCTGAGCTTGCAAGCGTTCTTTGTCTGCAAGGGTCCATGCTCTTCTATGCTGCTCCCAAAAATATCCGTCCGCTTCCCCCCGTACTTGACACATAATTGCAGCTGAAGGATTTGTACCACAAGCCAGCAGCTATTTTTCCCTTGCGATGTGCCAAAATATGCTCCATCGACTACATTGTTCGCTTGTTGCTTGGTGCTGGCAAGGTGTTGTCCAGGAGAGATTCTAGATCAGATGTATTCCTTGGCTGTAAACGAAGATAGAGGGAGTGCTGTTGTTGTTGTTGTTGTTGTTGTTTATCACATTAGCTCTATCGTCCACAATAAATGGGGAGCCCGTGGTCTCAAAACCCGGCACATACGACGCCGCGGGGAAACAAAACAAGAATAGGGTACAAACCACTCGGAAAAAGAAAACAAAATGGTAGAAAGAAAAGAACAGGGACCGCACCGACCGTTCGAATAAGAGTCCTCGGAAACCGATATAAAAAACAAAAACAAAAATAAAGGAGGACGCTTCCCACACCCGCCTAAAGAAAAAATCAAAGGGTAACGTACCAGCACCAGGCACTACGCACCAGGGCATGGGAGTAACGGAGCAAACAGGACAAAGAGGCGGCAGATGGGCAGACAGCCGGATGTACAAAAACAAAAGCGACAGCAAAAGCGAGATCAAGGTACCCAACACAGCGGAGTAGGCAGGGAGGGCATGAAATATAGGAAACACAGCACAGATGCCGAAGGCAATGCAAAGGACACACATAAAGGAGTGTAGCATACAGCAGGGAGGGAAGCAGGGCGCAACAACATCAGCCGGGTACATAGTTCGCCACAAGTGCTGCCTCGGCCGCCCTACTCGCTTCTACAGCAGTGCCCGGTCGCCGTTTTTCCCCCTCACCGCCGCTTCCCCGACTCTCTTCTGTTCGGTCCTGAGATGGCTGTACTTTCTGCTTCTGCTTCCCTTGCGCGCTGGCGCTTCGCGGACGCTTCCGCCTCCTGCCTGTGCCATTTCCTCATGAGGTATGCCGCCCTGTCCTCGACCGTGTTGCACCACACCTCCGGGTCCTTGGCGCTCCCTTTCCATTTCCCCCCTTCCTTTTCGTCTCCCTTGTTGAAGGTCACGAGGTCCTCTCCTAGACGAGACACCCAGTCGCTCTCCTGCCCGCCCCGGTATTCCACGCCCCCCGCCATCGCTCCTAACAGCATGCGCTTGGGGAGGCGGTTGTCCTCCATGCGCGTTAACAAAGCCCGCGAAACACGGTCTCCGTTTGCGCACGGTGGCTTCGATGGTTTCCTCGCAGCCTGCCTGGATGAGAGCCTGGGCATAGGACAGGGGGCGGTCTGAGCGTTTCCGCTTGCTCCAGCCGATGCACCGTGAAGGAACTGGCGGTGGGTCTCATTGAGCTTCGTGTAGTGCTCCGCTGTTGGGCTCCACGAGGCGCACCCATATAGGAGAGTCTCCACCACTTCAGCCTGGAGTAGCCGGATCTTAAGCTGGCGGTCGGCCCGTCGCCTGTCGTACGTCCACCGTATCCTCCCGCTGAAGGCATACCTGGCGTATCAGAGAACAGCTGCCCGATTGCCAAACACGTTAGTCAACGAATTTCCTCCTACCTTGAAAACAGGGCATGTACAGACTAGCCACACAGAACCCCCCCCCCCAAACGTCGGTCTATTGCTTCAGGCTGCTGTCATCTTTCAGTATCACGGAATAGCGTGAAGCGTAGCAGAATACCCTCCCTCACTACACTCTACACTCATTAGACTATGCCGGAAGTGTAGAGTTCCGCTCCGCCCCGCCCCTATTACATACAGAGCGCTCGTGAACACACGCTTGGACGCCTGAAGTGCCTGCAATGAAACCGTAGACAAAAGACCGCCCATTCGGGCCAATCCGGGTGCGCGGTAACGATCATGGTCGGTAATGGTCTCTCCACAACAATTCTCGAGGGAAACTGCAACTTCTAGCACGTGATACTTTTTGGGGTCAATGGTTGGTTCGGGCCGGTGTCGGGGAGTACTCACCCGTGAGGGCTTGAACACGCTCCATTACGTCCAGATTCACGGGGAGATATCACTGACTATCACTTGTTAAGGCTCCTACACATCCCCTCCAGGCCCTTCTCCGACCAATATTCATCTCTTGTGTATCCTCCTGAGAAAGAAATAGAAAGAACCCTCTCACTTTGGTGGCTGCTGCTTGCGTGCACACCAGGGAATGCTACTGCGTGAGGTTCAGGGAGAAGCGCTGGCGCATCAACGGGAACACACGGCTAGCAGCCCAGGCAGCAACAATCGTGGACGGCAACACGACCAGCGGCAGCAGTCGGCTTCACCACTACATGTACTGTCAAACTCCTCCTCACCGGGACGTGAGCCTCGTGGTCCCCTGTTGCTTCTTCCGCGAGCCGCTGGTCCCGCTCTATCCGGAGATGATGGACGCAACCAGGGTAGCAGTGCAAGCGTCCGTGTGCACCAAGGAGTGGAGGGACCCTATATGACAGGTTCCGACACTTCTCGGAAAGAATCCAGGCCAATAGCACCTGCTATTTCGGGGCCGAGCTTTGATGATCCTTCGCGTTCTCTGGGATTGGTGCCTCCTGGGTGGGATATCGCAGAGGACGATGCCGGGAACAAGTATTACTTCAACGGTGAGCCTGGAGAGAGCCGTTGGGATCCCCCGACACCCCTTTCTACCCGCAGCAGCTTCGACGGAAGTGGTGCACGAAAGGTCTCTTATGTCTTCGGCGGCTGGCGGCGTTTCTGCCGGGGATCCGGGTGCTACTCCTGCTGACACCACAGCTGCTGCCGTCGCTGGCAGAGGTTTTTCGCCACAAGCAGCAGCTGCAGGAGATGCAGCCCACGGCCATCCATCGGGAGGGGAAACGGTCCACACTAGGCGATATTCGGAGGCAGCGGCAAGCGACCGTGTTACCGAGAAGGAAGAAGGCGAAGAGCTGCCGGCCTTTCCAGCAGGCGACGCGGAAAACGCCCTGGCCGAACACGTTGGTGGCAGTGAGGCTCCTCATCCTCTTCCGGAAGGGTGGGAAGCTGTCGACGTGGGCGACGGGAGTATTTACTACCACCACGTGCTCTCGGGGCTAACACAGTGGGAGGTGCCGTGCGAAGAAGAGCCGCATGAGATCGCAACCGCAATGGCTGCTACACCACCAGATAGACACCTGTGGGATGAGTTCAAGACGGAGGAAGGCATGCCGTTTTGGTTCAACTCTTCCACCGGCGAGAGCAGCTGGTCATCTCCCGGCCACCCCGCGGATCGATGAGCTTATTTCGCCAGAGTGCATAGTGGCTACTTCACATAGGTGTGCCCCAGGAGGCACCCTGGCTTCATAGAGTGGGGTCATCGAACGGCAGCGCTGCGGGGACGGATGAAATGGCTGCGACGTTGCAAAGGGCCACCTTCACAATAGTGTTCGTCGTCAACGCCAAGGCGAAGCGACAAAGAGATACATGTGCGAGCGATGGCTCAAGAACAAGAGTAAGAGGCCGCAAGAAGCGGGTGACCGACGAAACAACCAAGCCCTCGACGGTGGATGCAAGAAACACCGGGAAACACCCGTGCCAGGGGTTGTGAAACGAAAACGTTTCAAAAGTCAACCAGCTGCGTTCAAAACGCTCGCCATGGAAAGACGTCGTTTGTGGGCACAATAGCCTGATCTGGCTGCCTCACGAAGGGACAGCCGTGGCCATCCTTGTTGCTGTTGCTTTGGTTCTCACCATCATAATCGTTGTGACGTACGAAGTACCCCCCCCTATTGCCCCAGTAACTCAAAGTAAGTGTGAAACTCCCCAAAAAGTACCTCTAGTAGCCGCCGGTAAGAAGAGGCGCAGAGTGTCGAAAACAGCACGCCTGAGCAACCCTCCGCACTTTGCGCTTGAAGACACCTTTAAGACTAAGCTACTGCTATACATTCAGGAGGAAGTAGCAAAAAAAACGTGTACTCATACCAGCCCATGACCAACATGGTCGGCTGGACAACTCGCCTATCGCAGGAAATTTCACACACGCACGAAAAGCGTAGATACCACCGGCCACCTAACAATTCAAACGTGGGTAGGCATGAATTTACGTTCCCACAATGCGCAAACGGTCGGCTATACTTACCCAGAAGACGTGAATCAACAGCAGAAGAAACACATGCAGCCTCCAGCAGTTGATACGAACTGCAAACGGAAGGGGACACGAAAGAAGAATATCATACAGCAGTCAAAGTCACGATAAGATACCCCACCCGTCAGTACCAGGGTGGGCGCCAAGTAAAGCCAAGGGCAAGAATATCAATCCTTCATGTACACGCTATCAAACCACTGTACATTGTGTAAAAATAATGAAAATAAACCGGTCTTGCAACAAATAAGATACCACTAGTGGCGAAACAAATGCACAAAAAAGCCCGCAGAACAAAACCCACCTCTCTTGTCACCGCACCGCACGAATTCCCTTTTGGATCCAGCTCAGCGTATCGCGCTTATAGCGGACCAAGTGATGCCTTTACCCTGCATACACTCGTCGTTCCCGTCCCAGCTAGAAAAGAAGCGGTGGGTAGCTCTCAGATGTGGCCGGCAGTATCGTACAAAGGACAAGACACTGTCGTAGATGCCACCGCCATCATCATCGTCGTAAATCAACGAGAGCAAGCAAATCGCGAATAGGCAGGCCTACGTTGAGGCACACGGAAGCATCAGCATCCCGTCAAAGCCGCAAAGGCATGACATGCTGCACGCCAAACATTCAGCCTAACGGTTATAATCCTCAGCCTGTTCCTCAGTTCGAAGTACACCGTGCCCTGCAGCCAGCCAAAAAAACAACACGCGATTTCAAGCACCCGTCTGCATTTTTTTGACCCAAAGGCTGCTTGCTGATTCCCGATATAAGCACTCCACGATGAACACGCCAACACCGATGCGTGGAGGCTAGGTGACTTTAGCCTCAACCTCACTCAAGCATGCATGATCTCCAAGCTTCAAATACATAACTTGTACTCGCACGTAACACGCTGCCGAAACGCAACCTCTCCATGAAGAAAGGCATAAAATACCACCATGAACATCAACCAATTACTGCCCTTCGCAGACCATGCCGAACCAATCTACCAAAACACCTTCACCCCATAAATAACCTCCGAACACGGCTTCACCTCAACTTCAACTCCAGCTCGTCCCCTCCACACAGAGAAGTTAAGCCGGCACGATCGCAACAAACGCTAGATCGATCGGAGATAGCCTCCTCCCTTCTGCAGTCCGCAAAGGGGCAACAGGAACTCGTCACGAGAAACACCGAATGAAGCAAGCCATATTTATTACTGTAAACGCGCTATGAATCCATTAACCACACGAGAACCTTTCCATCGAAAGCGCAGTAACAAAGGGTCGCGAATGCAACATTCTTCACCTCCTTTCCCGCTTCGATCGTGAACATGCCCAAACTACTCCACAACACATAGCCGAACCAACTCGACTGAAAATCTTCCCCACCACTGCGAGCTAGGCCCCTTCAACCTGACCTTCCGCGAGGAGTAACGCCATAAATGTCGGGGGCCTTGCGCATGATCCACCCAAAGTGTCCGACGACCAACATGACAGTCCATTTCTCGGCAGTGCAACGTCCATGCGAACGAGGCTTCGTGCGGTTTGGCGTCGGGAACATTGCCTCAAAAAAAAAAGTGAAGGGCCTTGCGATCAACAAGCTAGTTCGGTTAGCGCAAAAGCGACTTCGGTGTCTCAAGCCCCGCCCGCGCTCAAGCCTTGCCCAGGCGAGGCAGTCAGTGGGGCGCCCCTTGTTTTGCAGTGCGGTGGGACATTGTGTGTCTCACTCAACCCTGCTGGAAGCTTTAATGGCGCGAAATCCTACGACTCCGAGGAATATGACGCCGACGGCCGCAGCAGCACCGATTCCGACCTTGGCACCCATGCTCAACCTTGACGCCAAATGTGAACGAAAAGAAGAAGATAACGAAGGCCGGTGGCCCCGTGCAGTGTGATGAGATGATATTGATACTGGAGATCAACGGCAGTAGATCAAGAAAAAGGGGGGAAGGTGGACAATACTATGGGGGGTGCGGACTCTAACTTTATCGCACAAAAGATACGTCGACGGGTTCTTTGCCTCCCAGCGGGGACGTGCTTTAGTGACAGATATCTCCGGGGTCGGACCCCCTTTCCAGACGCTGATCGGTAAGTAAATGGTGATTCTTGTTCAAGTGGACCACTGGGATTCGAATCCGTGCGCGGAACCTTGTGTAGGAACGCTTTGACCGTGAGACTACACAGTCAGCGCCAACTAGTCTATGCGTCTGAGGGCACGGATACCAGGAAATGAGAGGCGAGGCATGCGTTCACCACGCATATGCTACAAATGGGAAAAAACCGTGTTGCTATCAATATTGTTTTGTCAACGACACGTCCTCAATAGCTGGTCAGAACGTCCGTCGGTTTCTTTGTCAAGGCCGATAGACCCGTGCATCATATCATAGGAGCCTCAAATGCACGCATCGTCGCCGTCATCCCACGTTGGACAGAAACACGTTTCGTGGCGACTCCAAACAATGATTCCACGCCTTCTTCCGTGCAGTCTACGCAAACTGGCGAATCCCGGCCCAAAATCATCGTCTCATCAGCCCAGCCCCGTCGCACAATACCGATATACGACTGAATACAGAGTTGTATTTTTTTCTATTTTCGTTCGCTGGGATTCGCTGGTCTGTTAGTAAGAGACACGTCAGCTGTATGAGTTGCTGGGCTTGGGAAACGTCATACCACAGCTAGCAGCCAGCTGCAGGTTGGCCCTGCTGCCTGCCACATTTGCATCACCCCTTCATGGCACTGTTGTGCTCTCATGAGTCAACTCCGCAGGGACAACCTGTATCCATCGACAATGTTGTGCTCCCTCACCCATCATCCGTGTCGGAAGCATTGACGTTCTCTGTATCGGCGTCGGCACCAGCACCATCGGAAGAGGCCCCGGGGGTTGGAATGGGTGTCGACGGAATATATGTTGATCCCGCGACAGATCTGGTATCCCAAATCATCGCATAAGACGGACCGGGATGGAATATTGCGTGGAGAGGAAACGAAAGGAGACGGAACAGAGCACAAGAGGAGGGACAGAAGCAGGAAAACAAAAGGAATACCGCGAGAGGAAAGGGAGAAAGGGGACAAGGGGACAAAGAAGGAGAGACACGCGCCAAAGGAAAGGGAGAGGGAGAGGACGACGAGAAAGGGGTCAGAGAAGACAGTCGAGAGAGCGCGAAAACACAGAAAAACGGTCAGAGAAACGAAGAGAGCGCACAACCAACCGACGACGGGGATTATCACGAGTGACATTCAAAGGGCGGAGATGGATTTTCCCACGATACCGTCTCTTCGGCAACACTAACACTTTGCTTTGCGCATGACACTAGCATGGCCAACCAGCACGAAGAATAAAAGCACTTTTATGCTGGAGCGCCATGAGACATTAGTCCCGGGAAGTGCAACTGAACCCAGGTGGTGTGATGTCCGTTCGTCCCAAGTACCAACGACTATTTTTTCCTAGGTCGTGAAGAATGTACGTCTACCGTTTTCAGCATGATGAAAATCACCGGAAAAATAATAAATGTCTATCGAGTTAGTCTCGTCAAGGACAGAAGTTACACGCTGGATTATAGACGAAACGGGTGGTCGGTCTGCACCAGCAGGAACAACAGAACGCCAACCACAACTACCACTGCGATAACAGCAAGAACCAACAAAAATAGCACGCCATCAACGGCTAGACTCCGCTGGTAACAAAACTCACGGGACTGGCGTGTCCATTGCCCTTGAGCCCGAAGTAGGCTCCGGAGTAGGAGTAACAGGTGGTGTGTCTGTCGGAGGATCGACGGGAGGAGGAGTGGTGCTGACTGTCGGCGCACCGCCGACGGCAGTGGGAGCAACAGAGCTGACCAGTGGCGTAACTGTGGGGGTGATGGTACAGTCGCTTGCCGAGATGCCGAACACCGAGTAGTTGAACGCCTTGACCTGGGTTGTGTTGGGGGGGGGGGGGGGG